CAGCAGCAGCAAGCAAGAGACCCTGTCTCAGTCAAGGTAGAAGAGAACTGACATCCTAAGTTGTCCTCTGAAACACACATACACACACACACACACACACACACACACACACACGCACACGCACACGCACATGCACACGCACACACACACACACACACAAACAACTTGTTAGTAAAAACTACAAAGCAAACTCTCAGGGACAAGTATTCTGATAAGAGTCACACTTGGCAAAGACTTGGTTGGTTTAATTGGTGACTGACAGCAGCTGTAGGTTGTAAAAGTTCTGGCTATCTCTTAAAGGGATAGCTACAAGGTTACAAGGAAGAAATTAAACCAATGAGAGATTTAAGGAAAAGGCGAAGACTGTGTGTGCTATTTTATGTGTTAATAATATCTGGACATGGTTAATCTGTTAATCACCTAAATCTCAGGACCTATACATGATTAGTCTACTGAGCCTAAAATCTTGCATTAAAAACTGGTATAGAAATAAATACAAAGTGTTAATGGTTATTTGAATCAGAGTGGGGAGGTGCCAGTGGAGGGAGCTTAGGGCAACATAGGTGCTGTTGATCTCTTGAAGGACTGAGATACACCAAGGCCAGACACCTGCACTATCACCTTTCATTTGCTATAATTCTTCTGAAGGGTTTTGATTCAACAAGGCCAGGCACCTGCAATTCCGCTCTGTGAAAGTTCTACGAGGACACTTGTCTGGCCAATTTTGCCTTGTCAGTGGCTAAGGATGGAGAATAAGACCTCTGTCTCCTGAGTGCTGAGATTAAAGGCATACACTTGGCTTTTTATTTATTCATTTGTTGTTATTCATTTGAAGTCCAAGGAATTGATCTCAGGGCTCCACACATGCTATCATGCACTTGACCTCTGAGCCATACCCCAGCCTTCTTTTTACTTTTTGTTTTGAGACAGAGGCTCATTAAGTTGTTCATGCTGACCTTGAACTCACCCTGTAACCTGAGAAAGTCTTGATCTTATGATTCTCCTGCCTCAGCATTCCAAGTAGCTATGTTATCTGGCAGGTACCACCAGGTCTGGCTGCATGATGTTTTGTATCTACTACTGTGTGGACCTTTTTCTCCTACAACTGGGTTTCACAGAGGTGGATTCTCTCCCATTAGGCTGAGTGGTCCTCCATGGAAAGTTTGGCTTCCCATTCCTGCAACTCTAAGTTCTATTAGCCTGGCCATTTTCATCCCCAGGGAAGGGACATCTATTTGTAAACACAATGACAGTTTTATTCAACTGGCAGCTTTGAGTTCTGTGTGACATTGGCTCAACACACAAGGGATTCTGCAACAGCTAAGGGAGTGACCCTGGCTACCAAGGCAAACCAAGAGACATGCTTGGGTAAAGGATTGTACTCACCCAAGGATGGGCATGGCTTTTTCAAAAGAGAGTCACGCTGTTTTTGCAGCAGCCACATCACTTTTGGTGGTTCCTGAAATTGTGTTGGTGGTACACGCCTTTAATCCCAGCACTCGGGAGGCAGAGGCAGGTGGATCTCTGTGAGTTCAAGGCCAGCCTGGGCTACCAAGTGAGTTCCAGGAAAAGGCGCAAAACTACACAGAGAAACCCTGTCTCAAAAAACCAAAAAAAAAAAGGAAAAAAGAAAAAAAGAAATTGCATGGTTCAAAAGAGTTCCTTTTTTTCTATCTTTTGTGCATGTGTTCCTGTGTATCTATCCATTGTTCCTAACAAGACTTTCCTAACTGCCTGGTCTTGCTTCTGTAACCACACTTGCTTGTGTGCAAAACCCTTCACCCTCCCTATAAAAGGGGCTTGAGAAACAGGCTTGGAGCTGATCTCTTGAACCCTGCCTTCAGGGGAGACAGCCCCTGGCTGGCTCCCATGTACATAAAGAAAGCTTGCTTTGCTTTGGCCATAATTTGAGTCCATGGACTTTCTCCTCTGTTGGTAAGATTAACAGTGTGTGCAGATGTGTGTGTGTGTGTGTGTGTGTGTGTGTGTGTGTGTGTGTGTGTGTGTGTGCATATGTGTATGTATGCCTGTGCACATGAAGATGAGAGGACCACTGTGACTGCAGTTACTGCTGAGCTACTCTTGGCCTGGCTCCAGAGAGTAGCACCTAGCCCTAATCCATCCTTTGTTTAACCGGCACCTTTTGTTTCTCTTATACCTTTTATTTCTTTTATTGCCCTATGTGAATCTTGTTTGAGAGTCTCCTGAGGATCAAAGGCCTATGAAAAACTTGGTTCAGGAAACCAGGAAAACCGTGGTACCTGAGAAATCAAGGAATTTGCACTTGGCATTTTATCTTTGGGAGCTCCTTTCAGGTTGCTTTGAAGGTATGGAAATTAACTGGCTAAACTGTAAATAGGGAGAAAATAAAAATACACTGGGCAAAGGAAAAGTGCTTCAGTCCTCAGAGGCTGGACCCCCCTGCAGCCACCAAAGGCTGAATTCATTCTTGAGGGGCCTCTGAGTCTTCTTTCCATGGATCTGCATGAACCACACTCCCGTGCTGCAACAATCGTGACAGACCACCTTTTGTATTGTTCCTCTGGCATTGTCCACTTTTTTTGAGACAGGGACTCCCACTCTTTGGAATATACTCACTAATCTAGGCTCTTGGGGCAGTGAGCACCAAGGATTCACTTATCTCTGCCTTCCCAGGGTTTATAAGCTTGAATCACCAAGTCTGGCTTATTTTTAACATGAGTTCTGGAAATCAAACTCAGGGATCCTGGAGACTTCAGGGATCTGTTTCTTGAGGAAGCAGTGAAGGCAAGTTGCTAGGAGAAAAAAACAAGTTATTATCGCTGGCCCTATGAACAGGGCTAGCCATGGGGAGAGTAGACGAGATTGTCAGTGAGAATGGAATGGAGATGTGCCCTGGTTGTACTGACAAAGAAGAATGAGCAAGGAAGAAGAGCAGACAGGCCCTTCCTTGGGACATTTTGGAAAACTGGAGGGTGGGAATGTCCCAGTTGCTGGACAGACCATTTATCCTGGATAGGTGCCTGCTTGAGCCTGGAGAGATGGTACCAGCCTTGGTGTCCCAGGAGCTTGGTGGGTGAGGATCACGGTGTAAGGTCCTGTCCATCGGGGCTCTAGTGACTTAAGAGATAGCTGCTTGAGGAGTACTCAGTTCCCCAGGGAGAGTGGGGTGGGCTCAGGGGCAGCTGGGTCCATTGGCGAGGGGGCAGGGAGTTAGCTGTCGGTATGTGAATGGAGAAGGGATCTTAGAGGGGAGAGGTAGGGGAGATACCTGGCCAGTGGAGGGGTCTGGGCCGGGAGGTGATGATTGATTGAGGAGGAAAGGAAAGGAGCTCAAAAGGACTTAGGCCTGTAGGAGAGCACAGGGTGGCCTGGAGGTGGGTAAGGGCCATGGGGGGTGGGGGTGGCAAGATAACCTGAGTTCAATGGAGAGCTTGGTGAGTTGTCTGAGTCTGTTGTCCCTTTCAACCTTTCCTGAGGATTGTGAGTAGTAGGGGATATGGAGCTTCCAGAAGATGTTGAGGGCTTCAGACATGAGCTGGATGACCCTGGAAGTGAAGGCTGGGCCGTTATCTATTTGGATGGATCTGTGGCTTGTGTAGGAGCCCACAGTGACTCCAGTGTGTGGCTTGATTCAATCTTGACTCAAGGTCAGAGAGTTCAAGCTAGTCTTTCCAAAGGTGTGGTTGCCAGATATCTTGAGAATTAAGGAGATGTTTACACTTATTTGTATTTTGAACCATGGTGTCCTTGGGAGGAAGAGGTCTTTTGCCCCCCTTGCTTTGGGTATAAAAAGGCTGTGAGAAAAAAACTCAGGGATGTTGTGTTATTGACTCAGAGCCTTCCCAAACCTATCTTGTGTCTATGTCTATTCTTCTGTCTCTGTTTTTCCTAGCTGTCCTCATTCCCCTATTCAGGACTCTTTGACAGGTTGGGCAGGACCTCACAGGCACACCAAACTGAGGAATGATGTGTTCAAGGAGTACCTGAGGCACCACATCTATTGTTTTCCTGGAGGTGGAAAATGTCTCTATCCATCCTGTAAAGTTGTCAACAAGAGTTAGGAGATAACAGAGCTTTTTATGAGTGGGCGTGTGGGTGAGATCAACCTGCCAATCCTTGCCTGGTTGGTGTCCTCAGAGCTGGTGCAGGAGCTGGCATATCTGGAGGGCCCCTTACAGGTTGGCCTTGGCACACATCTGGCAGGAAGAGTGGACCCACGACCTGGAGCATTACCCTAGGCTCAGCAAGGATGGTGGGAGTCACCAAGTCTGGGCAGCGTCCATCCTCCACCAGGCTGAGGAGTTTGAAGGCCAGTGTCAGTGAGGCTGGACCTCCATGGTGTGGCATGGGGGATAAGCGGGTGCAGGGGCATTCCAATTTCCAGTGACCAGGCTGCCAGCAGACAGGGCATGGTCTTATTGGCAGCTGAGGGTCGGGGCAGCACCAGGACCTTCCTGGCCACATTTGAAGCAGGACTCTGGCAGAGGTGACTTGGGCTGAGCTTCAGTGGGATGAAGCCTTTCAGACTTCCCTTGTGCCCCTGGCGGGGGTGCCATTGGCCTCAGGGCAGCTGCCAAGGCACGGGCTAGGCGCGTAGCCTTCTGTTGCTACAGAGCTTGTCGGGAAGACTCAGCTGCCCCCTCTCGGGCATTAAAAACCTTAAAAGCCATTTCCACCAATTCCTCTGTGGGGTTTGGGGACCCTCCTCAGCCTTTTAACATTCCTTTCTAATATCTATCTGGTGATGACTGAGAGATGAAGTGGGTGGCCAGGACCATGGCTCCCACTGGGGAGGCTGGGTCAAGGCAAGTGTATTGAATTGTGGTCTCTTGTAATAGATTTAGAAAAATGGCCAGATTTTCATCAGCTCACTGCATAATCTCTTGGAGCTTATTAAAATTAACTACTTTGTCTGAGACCATATCCACACCCTGAAAGAGGCAGCGGACCACGAGGTGCCTCCTCTGGCAGCCATTTTGACCGGGCTGATAGTCCCCGTAGGGTTCTGAAGCTGGCACCGCCATGTCACCCACAGGGACCATGTTGTCCACTAGGTGGGCTTGGTCTGCATATTGTCACGCTGCTGCCTGAACTTGACCATGATCCTCAGGAGTGAAGGTGGAGGCCTGGATGACATAAAGATCATGTCAGGTCAGGTTATAGGCTTGGGAAAGATTAGTAGAGAAGGAACCGACCACTTTTCTATCTGTGAGAGGTCCTGCACCCCGCCTCTCAGAAGGGGCAGAGGAGGGCAGGAATCTGCCGAGACTAGGTATGAGAAGCCACAGAGGGGATTTGGGGGAGTAGACCAGTGTGTGGATGGGGACCAGGGTGTAGGTTGTGGCACTGAGGATAAAGAGAGGATATAGAAGGAGGAGGGGGAGGGAGGGGAGGGGGAGAGAGGAAGGTGATAAAGAGGAGGAAGTTGGCCCTCGACCTTTGTCCCAGAGAGGGAGGAAGGAAGGGGGGTGGATAAAGGGGAGGAGGTTGGCAACCGCATGGAGTATGTGGCAGTGTAGGAGGGGTAGGCAGGGTTTGGGGGCGAGGGGCGCAGTGACTTCAGCAGCACGGTCAGGGCATGGTGTGGACAAACGGGGGTCTGGAGGCTCCATGACCCTAGCCAACGAGACCTGGGCCGTGGGATACCAGCGCCAGAAGGAAGGGTGGGAGCGTACAACCCCAAAACCGTGGATGCAGGGGAGCTCGGACCCTTTGTCCACACACGGGCGGAAATTTCCACGATCATGGAGGATGCTAAAGTGAAGAGTTCCCCCCAGTGGCCATCTTGACTGGTTCTCAAGATCGTACCGAGGCCAGGCCTTAGAGCACGAGGAAATCAGGCGTCTGGACATCCGGTGTAAGATAGCCCCAATTTTAATGGATTTTATAAAAGACACCCCAAGGGCATTTGGGGATCTGGCTTAGACCTGCAGCTGTCCATTTCACAAGGCTGTGCTGGAACCGGAAGTCTAAAGCAGTGTGTCCACTACTATAGGCTAGGGGCGAGGGTGGGTGTGGGACGTGACTTTGTGCAGAAAATCTCCTGTGCAAAAGGTCCCACTGAGCAAAGACGATCTTTGTCTGGAAATGGGTCGGTATTGCCCTGGCATGGCTGAATCGTGGCAGGGCACCCGGGAGGGGTCCTGAACCTCTCTAGGCAGAGACTTGGAATGGGTTACTTACCAAGCCAGAGGCCAATCCAGTCTGGGAGAGAGGGGAATAAAGAGAAGAGTGGTTTCCCACATGGCTAGGGCCAACACGCCAAGATGAAAGGTTTCTGTGCCCGGATATTAAGTCTCTCCGCCGACACCGTAAACCAAATCAAGCCGAATTAAAAAGTAAAAGACCAGGTTTATTTGGCAAAGCATTCCCAGGTGACCTTTCCAGTCCCCAGAGATAAGATGGGAAAGGAGACCAAAAGAATCACGTGACTGCTCTCAAGAAGGTGGTTTAGGGGCTGGAGAGGTGGCTCAGAGGTTAGGAGCACTGGCTGCTCTTCCAGAGGACCCGAGTTCAATTCCCAGCAACCACAAGGTGGCTCCCAACCATCTGTGATGAGAGCTGGTGCCCTCTTCTGGGCTGTAGGCAGAACAGTGTAAACATAATAAATAAATAAAATAAAATTAAAAAGAAGGTGCTTTAAACACCTTGTCGGCGAGATCTTGAACAGCTCTGGGGGAGGAGCCACCGCTTGCCGGGCATTCTGAGAGTGCGGGCCATCCAAACGGGGTGGATAGAAGCCGGTGGTCTGTTAATTCAGTGCATCCTAATTTTTCACCTGATAGTTGGAAGAATGTTGGGTCAGATACAGGTAGGAGCTAAATGGCTGCTAAGGAGACTAAAGACAGAGCAAGGTAATTTGGTTCTGGACTATAACACTGTAGCTCTCCATATCCATAAAATCCTAATCAATCAGCCTTATAGAATCCTTAGCCAGCTGGGCAGTGGTGGCACACACCTTTAATTCCAGCAGGTGGATCTTTGTGAGTTCAAGGCCAGCCTGGTCTACAGAGTGAGATCCAGGATAAGGCTCCAAAGCTACACAGAGAAACCCTGTCTCAAAAAATCAAAAAGGAAGGAAGGAAGGAAGGAAGGAAGGAAGGGAGGGAGGAAGGAAGGAAGGAAGGAAGGAAGGAAGGAAGGAAGGAAGAAAAAGAAAATCCTTAGAAAGAAAGAAAGAAGAAAAAGAAAATCCTTAACCTAGGGAAAGCGGCTTTCCTGGGAACTTTGGTTTACAATTTTATCTAAAACATTGTCACTGAAATGGCCTCTGAAAACTGTATTCCCTGAAAATACTATTTGTGTTAAGTTTTAAACCAGAACAAATGGCTGAGGTGCCTATTTAACATATCCAAGCTGGACCATGCTGCCGGACCATGCTGCCAGGTTCTCCCAGCATCCGTCAGCCCCTACCTGTTACAGGGTATGGATGGCAGCATGCCTCAACCCAGGGGCTGGGCCACCCTTCCCCAGAGGCTCTTCCCTATATAATCCAGACATTCTGGTTACCCTGCCTCTTTCGGACCTTTGGCCTCCTGGCTGCTGCACCTGGTCCCCCTCCCCCTTTCTTCTCTCTCCCTTTCTCCTTTCTCCTTCCCCCTCCCCCTCTCCCACATGGCCCAGCTCCATCTGGCCGTGTCCACTCTGGACTCTCCCAGATGTCCCTGCCTCTGGCTGTGCTCTCCCACATATCTACAATAAACTTTCTCCTCCACCATACCAAGGAGCAGTCATGTCCTTCCTTTCCTTTTTATTTTATTTTTTTCCATCCAATTTGTATAGCACTATTCCAGACTCCTTGAACCTCTGCTCACCATTAGGGACCAGGCTTCTGAACTTCTAAGAGGTACATTAGCCTTAGAAGTTCCACATCTCAGGGTTGGGGATTTAGCACAGTGGTAGAGCACTTGCCTAGCAAGCGCAAGGCCCTGGGTTTGGTCCTCAGCTAAAAAAAAAAAAAAAAAAAAAAAAAAGTTGCGCATCTCACCAGGTGATTGCCAAGGACACGCTAAAACAATTTCCTTGGTGAGCTACTGAAGCTGTAGTACCATCCATCTTTTATCTTTGCCTTTTAGTTCACCCCTAAATTGTTGGCTTGGCCATTTTATAACTCTTATTTATAAAAGGGTATTTTTCATATATTGGTTGCTTTGCTTAACCCCAAATTCTTCCCACACATTAAAACGATGTCCTTCTCTGCTAATACCCTCGGGGCTGAAGGTGATGCTCAGTTGGTGGAGTGTTTGCCTGGTCTACATGAAACCTTGGCTTCAGTCCCCAGAACTGTCTAAGCAAGGTGTGGTACGGCACGCCCGTCATCCCAGCATTTGAGAGATGGAGGCAGGAGGATCATAACTCCTTGACTGGGCGTGGTGATGCACACCTTTAATCCCAGCACTTGGGAGGCAGAGGCAGGAGGATCTCTGTGAGTTTGAGTCCAGCCTGGTCTACAGAGTGAGATCCAGGACAGCCAGGGCTATACAGACGAACCCTGTTTAAAAAAAAAAAAAAAATTAGAAAGGGAGGAAGGAAGGAAGGAAGGAAGGAAGGAAGGAAGGAAGGAAGGAAGGAAGGAAGAATAAATGAATGAATCACCACTCCTCAAACTCTGAAACATGGAGAAGAAAGCAAAGCTTTCTGTCACAAACTCGGCATTTATGAATATTCCTTTAAGAACAGAAATTCTGGGTTATTTCATTCATTTTTCTCCTTCAACTAAGGATGAGCATTTCCTGTGCAAAATCAGCTCTCCTTTGAGAAGCATCAGATCTAGGTGCTTCTTAAATCATAGGTTATAACTGAACAGAGTTGCAAAGAAAAAAAAAAGTAACGAATTTGAGGCATTTCTGGGCGAGCTCGGCAGCGTTGCATCACGTGACTTCAAAGCAGACTTGCTCTAAACACACAGCACGCACCTGCACACTGTGTGTGCTGTCGCAGCACACTCCAAGGAACACTGTCTGAAACATCCAGATTCAAGACCGTTCATTATATGCTAGGAACTGCAGTGTTTTTACTGTGAATCCTAACCTTGTTTTTATAAAAATGTGATGGTTCAATTGCAGAAGACTGATTTTAATACTAGTGTTTACCAACTGTCATTCCCCAGCAGGGAGGCATTTTTGTGTAAGGATTGTGATAGACATCCTTCTCAACTTGCAAATTTACGTTTTATCTTTCATCTTTGGTAAAACTACATGTGTACTGAAGAACTGTTCCAAGATGAATTTCTTTCTGATTCACAAAGGCTCACTAGGTGAAGGCCTTACTGTCCCTTGGAATAGATCAACTCCAGTTGGTGGGGGCATGCTCAATCACCAGCTAGGTGTGAAACTCTCAACCAGAACTGCCAGTGGGGATGGGCAGAAAGCCAGCCCTTCAGATAGAATTCTGATACCCAGATACACAATTGACTGGATCGCCACAGCTCGACTGTGCAGAAAGGAAGCCTTTAAGAAAACCCATGGCCATTGAGAAGATGGCTCAGACACTCCTTCCACGTCTACACACCTGGGTTTGATCTCTAGGCTCCACATAGTTAAAGGAGAGAACTAAGAAGTTGTCTTCCAGGCAGTGGTTCAGTGGTTAAGAGCACTGGCTGCTCCTCCAGAGGCTCCAGGCTTAACTCTAGCATCCACATGGAAGCTCACAATCGTCTATAACTGTAGTCCTGTGGGATTCAATGCTTCCTTGTGGTGGTAATCTAATTGTATTGAAATATTTTTCTGATTTGTACTGAAATATTAATTTGATTGTATGTTAATAAATAAAGTTGTCTGGGGGTCAGAGCTATTAGAGCCATAGCAAGAGTGTGGCGGTGGTGGCACACGCCTTTAATCCCATAAGATATCTGTGTGTTCAGGGTCAGAGCTATTAGAGCCATAGCAAGAGTGTGGCGGTGGTGGCACACGCCTTTAATCCCATAAGATCTCTGTGTGTTCAGGGATACAGTCAGCATTGGAGACATATGTCTTTAAGACCTAGGGGGCTGTACATTCAGACAGTGACGAGGCAGTCATGTGTTTGGGTTTACAACCAATGAGAAGGCAGAACAACATACTTTAAAAATACGAACCGAGAGGAAGTAGGTCTCTTTTCGCGAAGCTGGGACAGCAGGAGGAAGGGTGAGATTTTAGCTCTGAGCTCTGACTTCTTGGCTTTCTCTTTTACATTGTTTCTGTGTTTCTTATTTAATAAGACGGTTGGTTACATCTACACTTCCTTCCGATGTGCAGACAAAATGCCCGTATACAGACAGTACACAAATAAGTCTTTTAAAACATTGTCATCTGACCTCCACAGGCTCACTTCAGCATGAACATACACACACACACACACACACACACACAAAAAAAAAAAAAAAAAAAAAAAACCACTAAGAGTGGTAGCATCCCTCTTACCACGTCCTTAGCAGCCTGGTTTCAGTGGTACACCTTGTCCCAATTCTTCAGACTCCTCCTGTCCTAAAGACCTCAGGAGTTCACTAGCACACACAGAGCACTGGTGACCTTTCCCCTCACATCCCTTAGCACTTACCACTAGCTCATTCCACCCCTTAAAGCCTCTCCATCCCTCTGTTTCTACTGAGCTAAGTTCCCAGTAAGCTCTGGTCTCCATCCTCCAGCCTAACAGCCTTGACTTTGACCAGTGAAACTGTTGCTCTGACACTCCCTTCCCGTACATCTGAAACCCATTCCTTTGCAGCAGTGGCCTACAAATTTCAGCAGGAGCTCTGCATTGCCTAGCTAAAACAGTTTCTGGGGGAGTAGACCCAGCAAGTCCCCAAATGACCCGTGGCTGATCCCTCCAGAGACAGTCCATGGGGAGCCACACAGCCCATTGTTTGCATAGACTGTCTCAACCTTCTGAAGCCCTTCAGTTAATGAGGACCTTGCCATCTTGCCATAGGACCATTCCCACCTATGACAGAGACTGTTGTTGGGGTCACAAAGGTCCTTGAGCCCACAGATCATTTAACATTAACCAAGAATGTTAAACACACAGGGGCCTCTTCTCAGTGGAGGAGATCAAATACCTGTTTTTCCCACCGAGAAGGCTGGAAGTGGATTTTGTTAATGACCTGGTGACCTTTTTGATAGCTGTGGAGGAAAATCTCACCCACCTTTTGCTAGAGAGGCAGACCTCACCCAAATTCCCCAGAATGACTGGCCAGGATTCTTCTCTCCCTGGACCATTACCCATCCTTAAGGGATATGTCACATGCACTTTATACTGTCCCCACCTCTACGCTGTCTTGGTCCGAGACCACACTGAATTCTAGGCCTTTTAGCTGTAGAACCCACCCTCACGGTCACATTGTAAAGGAGTTTCTATGTAGTCACACCTTAAGCTTTATTGTGCATCTGGAATCAGAGTGATTGTTACCTAGAAATCTTTCTCCAAATTGTACTGTTTTAAATATGTTGACAGTGAACCCCCTGGCATTAGACTCCCCAAGTCTGATCCGGGTTGATGACGTCAGTCTGCACCGGGTTTTCACTCTCATCTCTTTGTAGCTCATTGCCTGCATTGACACCTGCAGAGCCCCCTCAGGCTGTGGTGGTGAATTTCATTGTCAATTCGACCTGTCTGGGAGGATTAGACCTGGCTCAGCTGAGGGAAGACCCACCCTGCATGTGGGCGGCACCACGTCATAAACTGGAGGCTGAGGCCAAATAAAATGGAGGAAAACGAGAAAACCTACAGACCACCAAAATCCATCTCTCTGCTTCCTATTCCCCCAAGATCCAAGGAGACAAGAAGCCCCAGTTGCATGCCCCACCATCACCACAAAGCCACCTTCGTGTCCTCAGCACCACTGTGGACTGTGTCTGCCCAAACAGTAAGCCAGTGTGCCTTTTCTTAAGTTGTCTTTTCCAAGTATGTTGTCACAGCAATGAGAAAAGTAACAAATTAATGTTTGCTACCATCTACTCACTCTCCATATACGTATATATGATGTGAGGTGATATGATGTGATGTGATGTGATATGATGTGAGGTGAGGTGAGGTGATGTGAGGTGAGGTGAGGTGAGGTGAGGTGATACGATGTGAATGCGCACATGTGAGAGAGAGAGAGAGAGAGAGGAGAGAGAAAGGATACCTGCTCCTTCCTCCTCTTTGTCCTTATTCTTCTTTACCCTTTCTTTTCTTCCGTGCCCAGGTCATAATTTTCTACCAATCAGTCGTCTCAAAAAAAAAATTTTTTTTCCCTCCGTCAGGCAGCACATTTTTGTTTGTTTGTTAATATCCAAATCCTTCTTGGAGGCCCCTGGCACTGTCTCCCTGGGGAGGGAAATTTCCTCAGCCTCTTTGGTTGCCTAGAAACAGGTCTGCTTCCTGACAGGTCCCCACCCCTGGCAAGATGCCAGCTGATACACACAACAAAGAAAGGGATGTTACCCCTTGGGCTTCCGTCCTGGAAGGCTCCCTGATCCTTGGCACCGTGATGACTGGCTTGCTATGGGCAGGTCCCCCAAGGCCCCTTCCCTAGGAAGCCTGCTGCTCTGCTCCTTCGGGAATCTTGGGGTGATGACGACTTGTCAAGTTTCCTGCTGCTGGATATGGACTGGGAATTTCAGATTTGATCCCTAATTCTATGCCGTCCGTCGCCTTTGTAATCAGACCCGCAGTGAACTTCCGATATCATCTTAGAGCCACTGGGGATGTGTGCAAAAGTACTTCCATATTTTTGCATGTGTTTTCTGTTTTGCTATTACATCCTACCCTTTAGTCTCCAAAATAATAGGGTGGATTGTTTTCCTTTTCTTTCCTCCTGCAGAGGCCTTTCTGAAAGGTGCTTTCTTAGCAGTTTCAAGCTTCCCTCTGACATCTTTGTCTCCTTCTGTTCTCAGAGCCTCTGCTTTGGACCCAGGAATGGTAGGAGAACAAAGATGCCCCCAGATGAGGTGTGCATACCAGAAAGCAAAGAGATGTGAACTCCCTTCCCGGACCAACTAAGAAAGGAAGATTCCCCAACCTCACTTCCCATAATCCTGAAACAAAATAGGAGATGAGGAAGTGCCAGACATACAAAGAGGGAGAACCAACTCTGCTCTAAAGAAAAAGACATTCACAGCAGTATGCTAATGCACCTAATTGTCATAGTCATAATGCAACAAACAATTACATCAATAGACCATACCAATTACAGGGATAATATCTGTTGACTATGCATACTGCATGTGACATACAAATCTATCTGGCACAGGTACAGATGGCTGCAGTGGTCTGAATGAGAATGTACTGTGTAGGCTTGGGATTTGAACACTTGATCCCAGTTGGAGGCTCCTTTGGGGGAGGTTTAGGAGGTGTGATCTGGCTGGAAAAAGCAATCACTCAAAGCTGGATTTGAGTGTTTCATAGTCTTTCTCTGGGTGTGACCTCTCAGCTCCCCATTTCTGCTGCTGGGCCTGCCACTCACTGTCACGCCTCCCTGCTGTGACAGATTCTCAGTCCTCTGGAACTGTAAGCCAATAAACTCTCTCTTCCATAAGTTGCTTTTGGTCATCATGGTGCTTTATTACAGCCACAGCAGAGTAACTAACACAATGTCTCATGGGAAAATCTAGAGCGTGAAAAGCACTTGAATGAGTCTTATCACTGTTGTGGTAAAGTACCCGATGATAAGAGAAACTGAAGGAAGAAAGCGTTTGGTTTGCCTCACAGTTTGAGGGTGCAATCCATCATGACAAAGAAGACTCGGTCCAGGAGAAGCGGCTGGTCACACTGTGTCTGCAGTCAGGAAGCAGCAAGAGAGAAATGCTGCTCTTCAGCTTGCTTCTCCTTTTTTTATTCAGAAGGGGACTCCAGCCCATGAAATGGTGTCACCCACACTTAGAGTGGGCCTTCCCACCTTAATTAGCACAATCTAGAAATTCCCAGGCAGACATGCCCAGAGGTCTGTTTCCATGGCGAATCTGACTCTCACCACAACTCTAAAGAACTGGACCACACTGCTTCTTGCATTGTGTGATGATGAACCACACAGAGCTTGATGTTCACTAGATAAACATTTAACCATCTGGCTGCTGTGTACTTCTGACATAACTAGTCTCAACTGAGATGCACTATGAGTGGGAAATTGGATTTCAAAGACTTAGTCCTTAAAAAGAACGTAGGGGCCAAAGATGGGTCAGTGGTTAAAAGCACAGGATGCTCTTCCTGAGGATCCGAGTTCAATTCCTAGCACTATATGGTAGCTCACAACTCCGTCTAGTCCCACGGGATCTGACACCATCTGACCTCCTTGGGCACTAGGTACACACGTGGTTCAGTCATACATGCACACAAAACACCCATACACATAGAGTTAAAATAAATAAATCTTTTTGTTTGGTTGGTTGGTTTTTGTTGTTGTTGTTGTTTGACACAGGGTTTCTCTGTGTAGCCCTGGCTGTCCTGGAGTTTCTGTAGACCAGGCTGGCCTCGAACTCACAGAGATTCACCTGCCTCTGTCTCCCAAGGGCTGGGATTAAAGATGTGTGTCACCACCACTTGACCTTAAAACAAATACATCATATATATATACAGAAGAGTATAAATATCTCATTAATTTTATTCAGACATATTTGAATTATTTTTAATATATTAGGTTCAGCCAAATACATGACTAGCTTTATTTTTACTTTATATGTGGGATTATCAGATACATTTTGATTATTCATGACTTCCATCAAGGGTAGCATCACAATCTCTATTGGGCAGTGTTGGCTTAGGATGTAAGCACACAAACATTCAAGAAATGTGTGATGTACACACAGCTATCTTGACACCAAGGCCAGGGCTCTTTGCATAACAGTGTGCTGCCTTTCCTGGGTTTTAAGTAGCTAATATTTGACTCAACCACGGGGCCCATGAAAGTTCCATCCCCAACTGTCTTTAGAGACACTTTCCACCACTGTGGTGGTGGTGCACACCTTTGGTCCTAGCGCTTGGGAGGCAGAGGCTGGTGGATCTCTGAGTGCGAGGTCAACCTGGTCTACAGAGCGAGTTCCGGGACAGCCAAGGCTACACAGAGAAACCCTGTTTCAAAAAACCAAAAATAATAATAATAACAATAATAGTAATAAATTAAATGAAGGTAATTTCCCTGGTGCTGGAGAGTCCAGGGGAGCAAACAGCAGACCATGCTCATTGACTCTGACTCACATGTCAAGAGAAATTCATTCTCTCATGTTCTCCCCAAAAGTCTCCATGTAAGCTGCTCCACAGGTTGATGGTTTAGGCATGAAGGACCCATTTTAATTCCATTCTGTCAGTTTTGTGCCAGAGTCACAGACAGTCACCGTTCTTCAAGTTATTCACTGCAAATACGGCATCCTCCAAAGAGAGGACACTTTCTCCAGGAGCCTCCCGAGAACTTCTGTGTTCTTAGGTCAGAGTCCCAGATGTAATAGAGAATGCTGAGACAGAGATTGCTCCTAAAGGTCACAAGACTTATTCAATGCAATGGACAGACAGACAGGGAGACAGCATCATGGTGGGAACTCTGAGAACACTTCAGGCCCCGGCACCAGACACAGACAACATGGTGGAGTCACTAAAGACAAGAATCAGAGGCCCTGGCAGCAGAAACAGAAGTGGCGGTCCGCTCTTGTACCTTTCTGAGGATAGAGAAGGTTTCACAGCACAAGCCTGCAATCAGAAGGCAGGAAAGGGGCCGGAGAGCAGGATATGTGGCCACCAGTCCCTAATTTGATGTAAACTGGCTTCCCAGGGGAGAGATCCTGGCACCAGGAAGCAGCCAGATCCTAACATTACATTTTGCAGAGTCCTCCCTTAAACCAAGCACTGGAAAAGAAAATGGAGTCACTGTGGTTGACTCAGAAAATCATCACCTACCCTGGATGGGAATCAAAGTCCCTTTCACAGACCATGTGGCCCCATAAAGGAGGATAAGCCCATGATAAAAGCGGAGCTTCCACCAAGGGCTGGCAGTCACCAGTGTCCGTGACAAAAGACACCCGGTGGCATCCATCAGCATCGCCGTCACAGATGAGCCTCCTGTGTTAGTTACTCTCACTTCCGTGACAAAATGCCTGACTGAAGCAATGAAGTGACCTAAGAGAGGCCGGGCTGTGATGGCACACGGCTTTCATCCCAGCACCCGGGAGGCGGAAGCAGGAAGATTTCTGTTGGTCGATATAAGGACACAGACTGCGAGGAGGTTCCAAAACATTAAAGATTAAGCTTCCTTCTTCAGTTAAACTTCCCTTCCAATGCTCCTACCAGAAGTGTGTCTCCTGGGGGATCCTGAGGCTAGTCAAGTTGACAACAAGGGTTAAGCATCACACTCCCCATGCTGATTTGGAATAAAAATCCCAAATCAAAGTGGACTGTGGACAGAGTAAATGGTGATGCATATTGAATATTGAATTGAAGAAGTTTATATGGTTTTCCTCAAACCCATCTTTACTGTGAAACCACCATTGGGGACCTCTAGACATCCAGGGGTCCCAATCAATTCAAATCTTCTAAGATGTTATTTCTCTTTGGGCAGTGCTTTGTGGAGGGGGTACATATATACACAGGAGGAGTGTGAATGTCCAGGTGCATACCCATATGTGTGCACTTACCCATGGGGGCCACAAGTGTTTCTGAGGAGCTCTTCTACCGTGTGTGTGTGTGTGTGTGTGTGTGTGTGTGTGTGTGTGTGTGTACATTGATGTGGGGTGGAGCCCATGCACTTGTAGGCACATGTGGATTGAAGCCCCAAGCTGATGTCAGGCATCTTATTTAGTTGTTCTTCACTGTATTTTTTGAGTCAGGGTCTCTCACAGAACCCAGAACTTGCCATCCCAGTGAGTCTGTCTATTCAGCTTGCCCTGAGAATCCTCTGTCCCTCCCTGTCCCAGAACTGGGATGACAAGTGACCACCATGCCTGTCTGCCTGTCTTTTCTGTGGTTTGGAGATGTCCCAACTCTAGTCTTCACACTTACACAGCAGGCATCTTATCCCCCAGCCATCTTTCTGGTCCTCTTTTTTCTCCCGCCTTATTTTTGAGATCATGTCTCTCACTGAGACTTGGAGCTCATCCATCTGACAGGCTGACAAGACATCAAGCCCTGGGCATCCTCTTATCTCTATATCCTCCATGCTAACACTTTAGCAAGTGAACTATCTATCATTCTAGGCCCATGCTAATTTTTTTTTAAGCCACTGAAAAAGGAAGGTAGAAAGTACTAAGATACACAAAGGAATGTGTAACAAATAAAATGTCAATGTGGTCCTTCAGATGGGTAGACTTGTATGGATTTTAGGAATTCCCAGATATTTTCTGGATCCGGTTGCCGAGATCTTGACAGCTTTTCAGTTGAGGAAAAAGGTTGCATCTGTTAAACTAATTGTGGTTGCTCATGCCGCCATATAATTTTACAACATCCCAGCTTCAGACGGAATGGCTTCCGTAAACATGCAGCAGACGGACACAGCCCAGATTTCTGCAATTTATTTTACACCAAGAAATTACATTTAGCAATTTCCAGACACATGCTATAAATGAAACTTCAACAGGAAGTTTCACTTCCTCTCGGTCCGACCTATATTTCCAAACTCCGAGAGTGGATCATAACCACGAGTGTCCCCTCCCCATGGTGTCATTATTCATACTGTGCTTTCTGGAGATTTTGTTTTTTCTTTTCTTGACTCAAATGACCACTAAGGGAACTGTAGACACTGGGAGACTTTATGCAGCCCTAAGAAAAATGGCAAATGTTACTAATGGCATGGCCAAATTATATAGCTGTGGGCCACCTAGATCCCTCAGGTTAGCCAGAAAAGGCAGGTCTCTCCTAGCACAGACCTTGCTTTTCTATCTGCACAACCTTAGGTTTTGTTAGTATCTGATGAAGCCTTGCCCATATCATAGGCCGCCTGACTATGTAATGTAGTTAGGAAGTAGACTTGGCCCCGAGGAAATGGTTCACTTGGAGTTTGGATCTCCAGCACCTGATTAAAATGCCAGGCACGGTGTCGTGATTGGAACCCCATTGTTGAGGTGAAGAAAGGAAGACCCCTGGGGCTTGCCAACCAGCCAGTCTAGACAAATCTGTTTACTCCAAGTCCGGTGAGAGACCCTGTCTCAAAACATAAGGCAGACAATGATCAAAGAATATTCCCTGACATCAACCTCTGACCTCCACATGGATGTACATGGACCTGTGTAGACACATAAACACACAAACACACATGAAGAAATATCTAGCACATAGAAAACCCCTGTTGTTTGGACATATGTCATAATTGAAACCCAAGGTTAAGATGAGGGGGCCTTTAATAACCGATTAAGTCATGAAGGGCCCCACTCTCAGCAAA